AATGGTCCGACCGCGGAGCCGAGGTGACACACCGACGCTGACACTAAACTACTTTCGACCAGACGAGTGGATACCTCACTTTTGCTAGTTTCTAACCTCACTCTCACCGCACTGGTACAGTCTCGGTATCCTTTTTCACTTTTCTGTTGCCTCGTAACATAGTTTGAAGTCCGTTTGAGTTCCCGCGTTCGGCTATCTCCTCACCAGCGTCCCAACGCCCCCAGCGCTAACGGTCTGATAAGCTCGGCTACGATCATCACCATAGTGTACGATATTATTCCCCTTCATACACGTCAACCCCTGCTGTACGAGTTAGGAGGTGTCGACCACGCGAGCGCTGTGGAGCTTTTCAAAATGTATTTCTCCGCGGTCAATCGGAACAGCCCTGCCTGGTTTTCCTTCTATAACCGGATATGTACAATGAAAGAGTGCCCCAAAAAACGTAATAATCACTCCTGATCTCGTCCGGTCAAGTTTCTCTCGAACCTTGAAGGGTGTCTTCGGTCCCTTTTAAAGCCGTGGTGCCCACCTGGATGGGTTAGTCTCCTCCCTTGACGCTCGTTGAGGAAGACCATAACTGGCGCTGGACATATAAAGGGAGCAGAACTCACGCACGGACAACTTCGTTGTCTCTCTTGTTGTCTGGAAATGTTGACATATCTGGATAACCTCCTTGGCGCTTTCTTGATTGGTGTTATCCTTTCCTCAATGTGAGTCGTAGATAGCTCCTTGCAGAGAACCGTCACTCATAGTACTCATCCCTCCAGATTCTACGGTTTCACGTGGTTACAGGTGTATTTGTATTACACCCAACATTCTTCAAGGGATAGGATCTTCTTGAAGTGTTTTGTGAGTCACCACGAGCACAAGTATTTTTGGCTACCAATACGAGTCAAGGCCACAGGTTGCGGTACTCACGTAGGCCGACATGTACCGCTGGAAGAGGCTTACAGGGCTCACGCTCATCAAATTCAGAGCTTTAGATTCTTTCCACCTGGTACTTCTTTGCCATGGGTTGTATGTCGTCCTTATCACGAATTTTGGAAATATTGCGGCGGACCTTCACGCCCCATGGTGAGTATGTTGTATTTGTGGATGTCCCAAGTCTCACAGATTCATTCTCCTCCAGGAGTTTAGTGGTATGGCGATCTGCAGCAGGATTTAAGTCATTTTACTCATTCATGGTAATTGATTTAGGCCCAGTGTATTGTCGGCGGTGCGTCCACGGACATATTCCTCTTTTCACTAAAGAACAATATCGATACCCATCCTTTCCCCAGTCTGCATAACTACATGCATTCAGCAGTGCGTTTTTTGGACTCAAACCATTGATCAGGTTCTCACTGCGACATTTGTCAGATTTTACGCTGTTAGGATTTATCAACGTACGTGGAATACCAGCCGCCGTAAATCTTTGCTCAGGCTCCGTCTATAGTGAGCGAACGAAAAAATGTCTTCATCCCCCTTGCTATTGTTCGTGTAGACTTTCCTTATTCTGAACATGACCTGACTAGAATCATATTCAGTGCATATTATCTACTGCAGAACTCGGTGCGTAGTCTATTTATGGTTGCAGTGATCTGGTTTTATGGCTCCAAACCAGCGCTCGGCATTGGTAAGTCTATCACCGATTCTAACGGAGAGCTAAGAAAAACGCTGATTTGCAATGTCCGTTTCAGTATTTGCCGCAAAGAGGTCCGCGTCCTTGAGAGGGTCTGCGCACATCATCGCTGACATAATTCTAGTTACAAAATTGGCTCATTCACCGCCAATACGCCATCTGTTGTCAGTCACTTGTATGCCAGCACAGCTTTCTTGTTGTCTGACCGTGACGTATCGCCCTTGCAGCCATATGGAGCCAGCTCGTTAGCACTCGAAGTATTCTGCGGTGTATTCATTACCGTGGGCATGGTATATTACATCCTTCAACAACGTTCGGGCCTCGAAAGGTGCGTTTCGTGTTGGCACCCGGAGTTTTCGCGTTTGCTGATAGGGACTACTCTCCTCAGTAGCAACCGCGTTCTTAATCTGGTGATATTGTATATCGTCAACAGCGGAGCATTAAATCTGTACTGTGCTTTCCCCTTTACTCGATATAGTTCAATACGCTGATGCCCGCGCGACGACTGAAAGGATTTTTGCGACTGCCTGCCTCGCTACGGTAAGCACTGGATCAGGATCCAGCCCCCACACCGTTGATGTGCTGACCTTCCCACCCAACAGTACTTGATATTTCCCAAGACGCTAATATACGCGCCATTTTTCTTCATCCTGATCCGATTATACCCATGCTCTTTCCTCACAATGTACGTGAAAGATTTATTCAATCGCTTCCATGAGAGACTCTTCATCGTCGTCGTGAACAGACTGAATTCCCGTGTTAACGTGCGCTCGAGATTGAGAGGTGGGCCAGTGGAGAGGGGTGCACAGTTATTACGATCAGTCGTGAGCAGATCTCCAATGGGAGCCCGCTCACGACGTTCAAGCCGAACCAAGACTCGAATAGCGACATGAGTTTGGTGGACAGGACTCGGAGACGAACGGCTGAGAAAGCCGTGGGGATGGACGAGGCGGTCGATTGACTCCAGTCAGTCACAGCTTTGGTGGTAGCGGATGGACATATCGAGTAGAGTGGAAGGATTATTATTATCGTGAATCGTAATACAGTAGCTAACAGATATTCAGGTTCTCATCAACTTCATACGGCCTTGTGTTCCGGGTGTATTGCCTCCCACACTTGCTCGGCAACACCCGCCATGGCATCGCGCCACCGATGACCCGACACTCCGTCAGTGTCGGAACAAAGTGAATAGGGCAAGCCCGCATCGCCTCCCGTGCTCACGCCAGGCGTGAGCGGAAGTTCTCCGAGGAGCTTGATGCCGAGGTCCTTAGACGCGTCAGATGAACCGAACAAGTGGTGTGGCGTGTTGCATGTGGGACATAGGAAGTACGACTGATTAAGGACGAGACCGATTACCTTTTTTTTAAATTAAAAACGTCCGGAGTTAAGAAGGTGCGACTATACAGCAAAAGGACGTACAGGTACGGCAAGCTTTTGAAAGGCCGAGATGCCTTTGCGAACGTCCGCCAGCGCGACATCCTGCGGCGTTGAGACGATCACGGTGCCTGTGTGATGGAGGCGAGGGGTAAATGTCCCGCCGCAAATGATGAAGCGATATGTTAGAGTGACAGGAAATGAGCGTACCGTCGACGGAAACGAGTTGTCCAAACGAGAGTGGTACATCCCCCGTTCCTGGGGGCATGTCAACCACTAGAACGTCGAGACCGGGACCACGGAGATCTGCACCGCGCCAGTCAACGTCGAAAAGCAGTTGCTGGACGGCTTTCTGTACCATGAGACCGCGCCAGGTCACAGGTGCATCAGCACCGGGGAGCAGAAATCCGATGGACATGGCGGGGAGCCCGTGGTTTGTAAGTGGGATGAGGGCACCACCTGAGGGGTAAATTGTTCCGAGTAGGTTGAACAGGGAAACGTTGGGGGGGGGCGCTAGGATAACACCGAAAAGAGTGAGAAGCGCAACGTACTCGATGTCAGATGGGGCTCTCCGACGGATTCGAGGCCAAGGAGCTTGGGTATCGAGGGACCGAAGATGTCAAGGTCAAGCACGCCACGCGTGCGCGTTTGGTGGAAGCGAGAGAGAAGGCGAGGTTTACTGGGAAGAAAAGATGAGATCACGTATAGTTAGGGAGTAGACAAAGAGGACGAACCGGCCACGGTACTCTTGCCCACACCGCCCTTACCGCTGGCAACGGCGACGACCTTGTTCACGTGTGGAATGCCACGCTTTGGTGGAAGAGCGCGACGCGGCATTACTGGGGGTTCGCCACGCTTCGGGAGACCCTATGAAAGGAAAAGATGAGTGCATGAACAAGGGTGGTGAAGAGTGGGGGGTTGATATACGAGAGGGTTGTCATGATGGAGAATACGCAAGGTGGTAAATAACCGGCGTGCTGTCACGTTCATGGATAACGTCCACTGCGAGGAGTGGGGTGCTGGTCGGGCGCTTCTCTCTCTCTCTCTCAATTTTATTTATCATTCGCTCACCCTTGCTCATACATAATGTTGGTCTTGTCATCTCTCGCTCTCTTATGGAACTCAACTGGATCTCCTGAAACCACAGGCCTCCAAAGGGTTCTACTCGAAAAAAGCCTCCGCGGCGCCGAGTGCGGAAGGCACTGCAACCCCTCAAATGCCCGTACGACGCGTTCCCATCTACCTTTTTTACTAACCACCCACAGCTTAATGTGCCAAGTTAGACTCTGGCAGAACAACTATCTATCTTATCCGCCCCCCGGCCGTTTAAGAACCCTGCCTACACGAAGAATGCGAGCCGCCGTACAAAGAATTTGAAGACTGTTCTTGGACAGGAGCGCGAACGCGAAAGGTTGGAGAGAGAGAAAAGAAGACTCGAGCGTGAGGAAGCCATGGAGGTTGATGGTACTGCTACGACCGGCGCCGTGGTGGAGGATGATGTGCCGTCGTGTGGGTTTGCCGGTTATGACTTTGAGCCCTGCCATCACCTTGCTAAGACTGATGGCGTAGATCTATCCATCGAGGCACCACCATCGGTCCTCCCACAACGTCGCTATTGCGATATCACTGGTTTAGAAGTACGTGAATGATTTCGAATCGTGGTCTCACATGTAGAGTGACAAAATTCTACCAACAGGCACCATACACGGATCCAATTACTGGCCTGCGCTTTCATGACAAGAGCATTTACGAACTCATCAAAGGCTTGGTCAGTGTATGCCTTTGGCCTTTCTTACTGAGCGTTAATCGTAACGGTGCATGGCCAGTCCGCTAGTGCTGCCAAGGACTACCTTTCTGCCCGGGGAGTTAACCCCATCGTAAAGTGACCACTTTATATACAACGGATATAGATTAGAATAAAGTTTCCTTGTATTTCGTTTATTGTCTTGTAACTTTGGGTGTAACTTGACCTTGACCACGGTACTTGTGTGGAAGGAACAAAACATGACAAGAAGGGGATTCGAACCCCTGCCTGCATACGCAGATGAGAAACCCGAGCTTACTCAGGCAAGCTTTCGCTTGAGTCACACGCCTTGGACCACTCGGCCACCTTGCCATGACAAAATTTGATGTAAAGGTAATATATATTCGCATGATCACGTGTCACTGTGCAACAAGACAGATTTTTTTTGAAATAACACGGTGATGTTCACACTCGCTCGTCATCGCGTCCTTCGAGTACCGGTAGCAAGGTTCAACTCAACCCTTGAAACACTCTCGGCTGTGACATCTACACCTCCGCCTACTAATTCTACCGCTTCTGACGCGTCCGCCTCACACCCTGCTGAGCCAGACCCTACTCTTTCGCCACCCAAGCGGAGGACTCAGGGTCGCAGGAACCCGAAATATACCCCAATTCGCCCAAATATCAGCCTTGAAAGACCTCGTGAATGGAAACCCCAGTCCCAACCGGGTTCATTCCTGCATATGACGAAGCGGTCGCGTACATCCGTGCGGACGCCGCTGCTGTACAAGCAGAAGCTGACACGCTTCGACTGAGTCTGGAAAAGGGGAAGTTGCGAGCGAAGGCGTGGAGGAAGCGAAAGAGAGGTTGGACATGCTGGATATCATGGCACAGGTAAATTTACCAGAAGTGAGGTGGAAGGCGGCGAACGGAATGGGTCTGTGTTCCCATTCAACTTTACTGGAATCTCATTCATGGGATATTCGTTACAGCGGACATGAACCAGAAAGTATATCGTCACCTCATCGAACAACGCTGGCGAAACGAGGGAGCCTTGGACCTTCTCGTATGCTACCCATCCATTTCAGTTGCCACCCATTTAATACAATCACTATAGATGGAGCGTCTCTACCAGATGCACGTTATTCCCGACATCCTTCCGGTGCTAGAACCCAGTGTCGACCTCCGTGTCGTCTTCCCGGAGGCCACGCCAAAGGACGTTCTTCGCACGAGATCGAAGAGAAGAACTTCGCCCGTCGAAGCAGGTGTGTTCCTAGTGAACGAACAGGTATATATGAACACCAGAGTCGTGTATTTATCGTAACTTACTGGATTACGTTGAGACGCGCCAACCACCGAAGCTCTACACGACGGTATTCCATCCAGAACCTAGGCTGTATACCCTGCTTATGGTCGACCCCGGTGAGTACCTTGTAGTTCTTTGAACTTTGACCCAATTTAATTGCTCTAGATGTTCCTGACGAGGGGAACCAAACACTCAAGACGTATCTCCATTGGCTCCAGTGCGTTTATCTATTCCATAAATATATGCGCCTCGATGTGACGTTCATAATAGGCCAAATATCACGCTCTCTGCCACGTCAGCTGGTTTACTTCCTCCTTCCGCTCATACGCCTTACATTCCCCCGCATCCCGCGCGGGGAACACCATATCATCGTTACGTACTGCTATTGCTTCCCCATGCAGATCCAGCCGCCAAGCTCTCGCTACCACCCGGCCCCCTCGAACGAGATACGTTCGATGTACGGGATTTCGTGAAGGAGCACGCGCTCCGAACTGATGGCGGTGGCGCATTTATGTGGAGAGCGGTTTGGGATGAGGAGAGCTCAAGGATCTGGAGAGATGTGATCGGTGAGGAACCCCCATTTCACTAGATTGGAGAGGTGGAGTTAGGACTGATTTTTATTGTGCAGAAAAACCGGAGCCACGCTTTGGATACCCCCCCAAGCCTGATCGGTTTTGCGGCTTTAAAGGGCGTCAAGAAGTACGCGTATGCATGTTTAACCTAACTACAGTATTTGGCCTACTCTTCTGCAAAAACACGCTACACGAAGGTTTCCTCAGTGCTCACGTGTCTCCATGATTCTATCAAACATGCAGGATGGAAGCACTCGGATGTTACCATTATGATCTGAGCGGAAAGAACCATTTCACAGCGTTGCAGGCTCGCCCGTTATGTATTATGAGCAAAAAAAGACCTCGGTTCCCGGGGCCGGAACTCGGGCCAACATGCCGCACCCAAATGTCATATGTGCAAACGTCCCTCGGGTGTTCTGCGCGCTCTCGGACCATGGATGACCCGAGGAGCTCATACTCAGATAAACCGTGACGAGACTGAGGTTTTGGTGGTTTTGAACGACGTAATGATCCGTGGGCCCCGCCATAACACCGCTGTATGTCTCACGCTTTGTGTCCAGAGTCCAGGCGTAAATCCAAGCGCAAATCCAATTTCACGTAAAAAGTTTCATTTGTCAAAACGGTGATATGATCGAGCTCAGATGCCGGGCAAAGGAACAGCCGAATGGCATTTCTCGCCCAATGCTTTCAGAAAGTAAAAGCACATATTGATTCATTGCTATCCTTGAGGGTGCAGCTCAGGAAGCAGGTCAATGCAAGAACGGTCACATGGCCGTTGTACAGCGAATTACCGACCCGGCAATGTCTGGCTATCTGACGCCAACTGACCCGTACAGGAGTTGTCATAGCGTCGCTTTCTTGAACTTGAGTTCTTCATGGTTCTGGTTGAAAAATTACCCCGCGACTTTTGGCGAAGCGTCCTTGGGAGGGTTCTATGGAAGGTAGGCTGCATTAGTCCTGGTATAAGGTGAACCCATTTCAATGAATCAGTCACCAACGGAGAACCGAATCGGAGGTCATTGACGCCAGGGACTCCTGCCAGAGGTGGAGCCACCGCCGCTCCCGATTTTATGTGGTGTGGCCCTCCCCTTTCCGTCCACCGGCAAGCTCCCGCCTGTCATTCTAAGGACTAAAGAATTGCGATCGCTCAATCTTCTACATCCTTAATCATGGGCCACGCCTTCGTTGGCGCATACTCAGCGGGTTCCGTCTCAACCAATTCCTGTCGACCCCGTCATTACAGCATGTCCCCCAGGCCCTCTACAGGACCGCAAATCCGAGAAATCCTCTACCCTTTCCACCGCGACTACTCATTGCCCACTTCACTAGGCACCTCCCAGGGTTGCGGGGCCGTGGGCCGCTTCGTCAAAGCCATAGAAGCCCGCGCGCAGCCTAACTTACACAACGGGGTAAATACATTCAGGCAGTCAACGTTGCTGATGGGTCATGGCTCTCGATGATGTCCATATTATTTATCGTACACCTTCGGAACGCTGTATGGAAGAATCGCAATCAAATGTGGTTATATCCTTGATCCCGAGATACATCTTATGCAAGGTAGCAAGCAAAAGTGGTAACAAAACTGCAATGTACAATAGAGCGTCACCCAGGTGCATGTCATACATGGTCTGGGGGTAAACTAGATGAATGATTAAGAGACGGAGGAATAGGTGCTATGGCCGCGGGCTGATCGCCCGTCGGAAGAGGATTCGATGGTAATTGTAATTGCTTGTCCTCGTGTCCGATTGTAGCCGAGTCCAACCTGCCGTCAGATAACCACCCATCCTCGGTGGATCGAGGCGTGCTCATCTTTTGGAGAGCTCGGTTAAGCCCGCCGCCAACGTTTGACGTGGTGTTGACTCCAGGTGTTGGTTAGGTGCGACAGAAAAGGTTGCGAATGCGGTATCGGCATGGAACGCGTTGCGAAGGTGGTCCCGGGAATTCAGTCTGCGGTCAGATAGTTCGGTATCTGTGAGCACACCTATCAGGAGGGGCGGAAGGAATGGACAAACATTGCCATAAAGGAGCAGGAATAGAGGCGCTCGAGAATGAAAAAAAATGGTGCATACACGGTGTCACCAGGGTAGCGTGCGTACTGTGTGTGATTAGCAGGACGAATACAATAGTTTCGTGGAAACAACCAACAGTAACGAGAGACAACGCTGCAAATACTCTGCGGGGAAAGTCACGACAGGTCAAGCCGGATGATAAACATACTACGAACGCTATGAGCAATCCGCTATTCATGCAGTAGAGCGCGATTGTCCTAGCAGGTGAGGCCTTTGACCTGCAGGGTCATTCGCACCGTTGTTTGAATTGTTTGATAAACCAGTTTTACTCACCGCTTCACCCTTGTGCCCCGCACGACCAAATAGTACGCCGTACTTGAGGTAATGATCACGTTGCATGCAAATTCTAACGAGAACAATGCCGAGAACAAAGAAATCGCGAGCGGCTGCAAGAAATGTGTTTGAGCGACAAACGTTAGATGTAATGAAAATAGCACTACGAAACTGCCGATACGGTATTGGAAGCTGAGGAGAGATAAGCCGTCTTTCGTGGAGGTACATAGATGAGACTTGCCACTGGACAATATAAACTGGGCACAGCAGACTCATAAGGTCAGAGTTGGAGTTGGAATGTGATCCATAGCGCACCGAGTACAACCGCTATCAAACAAGTAAACCTCCGAACAAAAAATGATGGAAACGGGGTCTACCTAGCTCAGATACAGTCATGGTCACCTGGAAATGATATCAACAATGAACTAATAAATAACTATGCAAAGGGAGGATTACGATGAAAATTGGGATGTAAATCCTTCCTATGTTTCCCATGCCAGTGCTTACTGTCCACAAGAAATGAGTAAGTAACCGACCAGTGTTCGTGACTCGGAAACACCTACACTTATGAATTCTCCAAGCATAAAACCTGACGTGACATTCAACGCAACATCCCACCAAGAAAAGTCAGGGACGCACTGTTGAGTGGTAGTACTAAGGATTACTGGGATACAGTAAGGCATACATACTTCGATGTTTGATGATATACATACCTGCAAACAGAGTTTGGACCTGAATAGCCCTGTTTTGATTCTTGGGTTCAAAATCAATATCAAGGCGCACAGAGATTTAAAACACACCATGGAGAGTGCTTTAGATCTGTTACGTTTATATTTGTTGTGACGAGCAAATAGTATGCATTTACGAGAAAGCTAATTGCACGGAATCCAATATCCTGTTTAAAATAAGTCAAGATAACGGCCCACAGTGGGACAAGTATGACCCTACAGAAGCGCTACAACCTGGACAGAATGCCATAAACATATTGGAAGAAGGGACAGGTGTACGATACCACATACAAAGAACTTCAGAAAGGGCTTGTCCTTCCCAGAGTGGCGAGTAAAGTACAAGTAGACCTGTAGACATATCACGCCGTATAACCTAGTTCTGCTTTGTCAGGTCTGTGTGTGGAGATGAGAAGTGGTCCCACAC